AGGAAGGAAGGAAGGAAGGAAGGAAGGAAGGAAGGAAGGAAGGAAGGAAGGAAGGACCAAAATTATTGGACAACAAAATAATTGTGCTCTCAAGCATTCATACTGAGTGGCATTTATAGTCTGTTATCAGTCCATTTGGGAGTATTTCACATTCACTGTCTCCTTGGGGAAATTACCAGCAGCCACTTCCATATAATTCCAACTTCAGCTAATGTCAGAAGACCAACCGCTGGCTTAGCCAGTTTGTGGGAAGTAAAACTGACACCGAGACTTACGAGCTGAAGGTTCAGTCTCTTAATAGTGTACCACACCCTGCAAAACTTTTGTTTTCTAGAAGACTCAGGGTGGGGTAGGGGAGAAGACCCCTGTTTTGACTCGAATGCCTCTGAGGATTGAATCGGGAGATTCAAATAAGCACATTTTCAAAGGCCAGCCTGGGTAGGCGAGGAGCCCCCTTCCTCGGGCAGCCTCAGCCCATCCCGGGTGGTGGCAGGCCTGGGAATCTGGCCGCCAGCCGAAGGTTCCATGCTTCCCATCTGGGAAATGACTCCTGCTTTCTCTCCATGTCCTGCACCTGATGGCCGAGTCTCCCCACCGAGCTCTGGGACGACTCACGTTCGGAAGCATCAGCAAAGGCTTGGCTGGAAAAAGAAGGCGAGAAAAGAAAAAAAAGGGAGGACATCTTCAGAATGCGGGATGGCTGCCAAGCCCTGTCACTGGTGATAAAGCGCCTTTGAAAAGTTGCTTCCAGCCACCTGCCCTCCCCTGACGAGAGGAGCTGCCAGTTGTGTCTTGTGTTCCCCTCCGAGATCCTGGCAAGCAGCTTATTCCTCCCAGCAGGACCTGTGAAACCCGGGGAAATTCTCATTTCCTTTTAGAATAACCCTGCTTTTGTCTTCTCCCTTGAAGAAGGGATCAGCAGTCATTCATTGCGGCTGGGAGTGACGAATGCCCCCTAATTGTGGCTGAGCTGCTTGGCAAGGGCTTCCAGTTGTCTCTGCGATGGGGAGGCGAGGAAGCTAAATCTTCGTGTGTGTGTGTGTGTGTGTGTGTGTGTGTGTGTGTGTGTGTGTGTGTGTGTGTGTGAAGGCATCATGAGCCTCCCTCTTCCTGATTTGCAAGCTGCAGCTTGGTGGATCTGTATGCAGGAGGAACGATCAGACGTGGCAGGGTAGAATCTGATTCAGTAGCCGTGGATTCTGAGCCGCAAATGTGCCCTGATATGACGCATAATGCAATGAAGGAGAGATCTTGTGAAGGCGGTAATCCTGGCTAGGTTAATAAAAAGCTATCAAGCAGGTTTCCTGCAGCGCCATGGTGGCGCAGTGGTTAGAGTGCAGTACTGCAGGCCACTTCTGCTGACTGCCGGCTGCCTGCAGTTCGAATCTCACCAGGCTCAAGGTTGACTCAACCTTCCGTGGTCTGTAAAATGAGGATTTACCCCAGATTGTTGGGGGCCATATGCTGACTCTGTAAACCGCTTAGCGAAGGCTGTAAAGCACTGTAAAGCAGTATATAAGTCTAAGCGCTATTGCTATTGTTCCGAGGGTGTCCGTTCGATCCTGACACAACACGATCAGTAAAGCTGGTCTTTGTGATTTTAAAGTGATAGTTTGAGCATCCTTACATGTAGTCATACTTCTTATCACTTATTCAACAAAACAAATAATGACCTCCTGTGGTGGGAACCTGGTCTATTTATTCTAGAATTAAGCAGTTTATTCTAGAATTCACCTGTGCATGATCAAAATTCAGATGCTTGGCAACTGACTCGTATTTATGTCGGTTGCCGTGTCCCCGGGGTCATCTGGTCCACCTTTGGCGACAAGCCAGATTTATTTAACAACTGTCTTACTAACGGAACAACTGCAATGATTCACTGAACAACTGTGGCAAGGAAAGGTTGTGAAATGGAGCAAAACTCACTTAACAAGTGGTCATAAGGTCGTAAGTCAAGGACTAGCTGTTAGTCTGATGTCATTTCAAGCAGGTGACCAGCCGTAAGTCAAGGACCATCTAATGTGTTTCCTCCCAAAATAAGACAGCGTCTTATTTTCTTTTGACCCCCTGAAATAAACCCTTGGCCTTATTGTTGGGGAGGTCTTATTATTTTTGAGGTGCAGGAGGACCCTTTTCCTCTGCCCGTGGACCGCCGATCAGCTGATCCAGAGATGGCCGAAAGTTCTATCTCTGTTTCTGGCACACTCTTGACAGCCCTAACGTCGCTGGGCCTGTCGCTCTTTTTGCAGCTGCCACTAAGAGAAGGGCCGCGGTAGCAAGGGTTTGCGGGAGCGGCCTCCGTGAGGCCATTCTGCGTGGATAGCAGGTTCCTATGGGTCATGTGGGGCATGTTCCCCCCTTCCCCCCCCCCAGGAAATGCCGGGGACCAGCTGCGCATGCATTTAAATATTTTAGGGGCGGGCTTATTTTCGAGGCAGCGGTACATCAGGGGTGTCAAATTTCATTGAGGGGCGCATCAGGGTTGTGTTTGACCTGGGGGGCTGAGGTGGGTGTGGCCAGTTCAACATCACTTATGTGGGAGGTGCCGATGGCGGGCTGAGTGCTCTGCCAGCAAAAAAGGGCTTGTGACCTCCGTTTTTAGCTGCAATGACCTCCTGCAATCCTCTGGCAGTGAAAACAGCGCTTGGGAGGGCTCCACGCGGCCTTCCCAAGCTCCATTTTCACTGGCAGAGGCACCATGGGCCGGTCCTTCACTGTTTCCAGGTTGGCCCCAGGGGGCCAGATCTAAGCATCCCATGGGCCGGATCTGGCCCCCAGGCCTTGAGTTTGACACCCCCTATCTATATAAAACTAACCAATCGAATGTCCTCTTCCAATGGGCTTCTGCCTCGGTTATATCTCTGTGTTCCTCTCTCTCGTCTAGTGTTCCTCAACATGCGGCAAAGGTCTTCAGTCCCGTGTGGTTCAGTGCATGCACAAAGTCACTGGTCGCCACGGCAACGAGTGTCCCACCTTCTCCAAACTTGCAGCCTACCGGCAGTGTCACCAACAGGCCTGCAATGAGAAGATCAATGTCAACACGATTACCTCTCCAAGACTCGGTCAGTATGCTTCCCCTGGATTTCTGAATTTTGAACTCCTGATTGGTCATCTTCTTCTCTCAAAACAAACGTAAGAAGCTAATTACCAAGAATTGTCTCTATATCCAACTGAGGAACAGAAAGCTTTGAAAGATGCAATGGAAAAGGAATTAAAATCATTGCAAAAGTTAGAAGTATATGAAAAATGTAAAGTTACCACCAGGTAAACATGCCATTGGTTGTAAATGGATTTTCAAAATGAAAAGTAGTGTAGATGGGACTGTAACCCATAAAGCCAGGTTAGTTGCACAAGGGTTTGCTCAGTCAGCCAATGACTATGATGAGGTCTTTGCACCTAGTTTAAAGGCTGCAACGTTACGGGCAGCATTAGTGTGGGCAGCTAAGAATGAATATATAGTTAATCATTTAGATGTAGAGACAGCATATCTTCATGCACCGTTATATAGTATAGCAACATACTATATA